GAAACAACCATAGTAGGGACCCTAAAAAGCGAGGTTTTAAGGGGTCCAGGCAAGGTCCTCATCGAGTCGAACAGGGTTTAGGGTTTAGGGTTTGGGGTTTAGGGTTTAGGGTTTAGGTTTAGAGTTTAGAGTTTAGGGTTTAGGGTTTAGGGTTCAGGGCTGAGAGATCTCGGTTCTGTGAGTTTATACGGGCTCATAATTATAGGGTTTGGGGTATTCAGGGATCTCGCTTCTGTGAGGTTACGGGGGTCTTAGGTCTTATCGGGTACTAAGGGTATTTGGGGTATTTTTTTGCCACCTACCTAGCAAGGGCGAGCCCGCATTGCAGGGTGATGTTCGGCTTTGACTGTGCATTTAGGGTATTTAGGGTTTTGGGCTTTGGCGCTTAGGGCTCTAGGGTGAAACGTTTCGGTGTCGGGTTAAATGCTTAATTTAAGTTTGGGGTTTCTGCCCAAAAAAGTGTAAAAAGCTGACGAAGCCTTGAACCCTACACTTCCTGTAAAGCGGTTTAAGACTTCAGTGCAGGCATCCCTCCCTAGCACAAGTTCATGCGGAATTTCGCCTCACGTGGCAGAACCGCACCTGCTCTTGTGCCAGCAGTACCACACTTTACAGGTTCAGCTACTTGGACTAAGGTGCATGCAAACAGCACTGTCTGATTTTCTGGTCAACTTTCGGGTATTCGGTAGCATTCCCCATTCTTCATGAACGATGTGTCCCAGAGGGTCCATATACACTACCCTTGTGGAATTCGGTCCCAAAAGCCCATCTTGACTATGGCTTTGGGGACCACATTCCGTAATAGTAGTATATATGGTCCACATACGGACCCTCTTGGTATACTAGTACCCTAAACCCTGAACCCTCAACCCTAACCCGAAACCCTAAACCCTGAACCCTCCACCCTAACCCGAAACCCTAAACCCCTAAAGCCCTAAACCTTGAACCGTAAACCCCAACCCTAAACCCTAAACCCTAAATCCCTAAACCCTAAACCCTAAACCCTAAACCCACCCCAACCCTAAACCCTAAACCCCAACCCTAAACCCTAAACACCTTCTGGAGGATAGCCGGGCTTCCATCACTGCCCTGGACCTTAGGGTTTAGGGTTTAGGGTTTGGGGTTTAGGGTTTAGGGTTTAGGGTTGATGGAAGCCCAAACCGAGGCGAATTTCGCTTTAAGTTACCATGACACGGAGACATAGATCTCCATTTGGGTAACTTAAAGTTAAATCCCTTAAACCCTTTGTAGAACCCTTGAAGGAACCTAGATTATCGTAGCCTCCATGGAAACTCCTTGACAAGAACCCAGAAACTGGCCGCGCCTCTCCCTGCTCCAGGTCGCTCTTGGAAGTCGACACCACTAAAACGGCAATATCCGCCTCGACGTCGGACGGTTTAGAGCTTATCTGGACTTTTTTTTAAAGAACCTAATGTGTTAAGAGCTCCTTAATACGATTTTCTTTTGCAAACCCTTGACAATGGTAGGTTGTTTGGGGGGTTTTAGGGTTTAGCTGGAGCTGAGAGGACCAGTGCTTGCAGGATTTTGCGGGCCGCGGTTCTAGCGCAGGCTCGTGCCATTCAGCGTCTGTGCATCTCGACACGCCCCAAACTCTACGAAGTCCGTCACGAAACGGACGAATCAAGACGAGAGATCAACCCCTTCGAGGAGCTGACACACCTGATTGTTGCAAGGGTCGCTCCCTGCCTTGTTTGGTCTGGCCTAACCCAGAAGATTGGTCGTGAGGGCACTTCTACAGGTGCAAGCCCATGAAGAAGACACAAGTATCACTGATCACCAACTCCCGATACTAGCCCTTGACAATTTCTAAGCATGCATCAGTTTTTTCTAGAGGGCTTGGGGTAGAATAGGGCCCTCCAAGTATCCTTCTTTAGCAGAGCCTTTATCGTCCTTTAGCAGTGGGGTACGTAGCTGTAGCTGAAAGCAAAGGGTGTTAGAGGCGCCTGGGTAGGTTAACAAGCCCGTAGCCCTAAACCCAAAGCTGCCGACCCTAAAAACCTAAAGCCCTAAACCGTAGGCAATAAAGTCCTATAGAGTCTCTTAAACCCTCAAATGCAAACCCTAAACCCTAAACCCTAAACCTCAACCCCTGAAGCCCTAAACCCTAAACCCCCGAAGCCCTAAACCCTAAACCCTTGAAGCCCTGAAGTTCTGAACCCTAAACCCCTCAAGCCCGAAATCCCCAAAAGGTTTCGGGCTCGGGTTTCCCATCGCCTGGGACATAGCCGTCACGATGTCCTTCGAGAAATCCTTGTGCCCCGGCCTTTCACAGCTCGAGGGCTTCAGGAGCTAAGCGCTTTGAAAGGTTTAGGGGGTATTAGTTACCAGGGGTGGGGTCTAGGGTTCAGGCTTTAGGGGATATTTATATAATGTCTGGGGTTTCGAGGGTTCACCGTTCGAGTCTTAGGTATTGTTGGTACTTGTAAGAAGCCCCGGAAAGAACTTGGGGCGCCTTGATGAAACCATAATCTGACAGACAACCCAGAGAGCCCAATACCCCTTAATGAAGGAATATACCTTAAATCATAATATATAAGGCCCCTATAATTTAAGGTATATTCCTTAATTAAGGGGCATTGGGCTCTTTGACAACACAGCCATCCTGAAAATCTCAGGACTTGCGGCCAACATACACCGTGCCCAGCTGCTGTGTAGGTAGAACTAATGAACGTTTGACAGAAAACCTAAGCCCAAAGACCCTATACCGTCATATAATGTAATAAAACCCTCCCACTCACCACGCCCTAAACCCTTCACACTTGGATAAGTGGAGTTATAAGTCCCTGAATCATAATTCCTAGTCCCCTGCTAGTGCCCATATACTTGAGTTCCGCGCTGGAAAGATGCCAAAAACCTGAGCCCTAATATATAAATGTATATGTATATATATATATATATACATAAATATACCCGAATGCTCTAAATCGCAATGCCGTAACCCCTGCAGGATCCTGCTGGTATATAGCTGCCCTAAACCATAAACCCTACGCCCAAATGCTTCTACACTGGGGGGGCTTGGGATCTCTGGGGCCCTAAACCCTAAACTCTAAACCCTAAATCCTAAATCCTAGGGTTTAGGGTTTAGGGTTTAGGGTTACACCCAAATGGTTCTACCCTACACCCTATATAGACCCTACACTGGAAAAGCCCTGCCAAGTGGCGCATCCATCACCGTGAAGCGGCAGCGCCTGGATGCGAGCCTTCTCTGAAGTCTGCTTGGAGGTTCATGGGTAGTTATAAGTGGGGTCATAACTCCCATAGCTGTAGGGTTCCTTTAAGGTTCTATAGGGTGTAGAGTTTATGGGTTAAGGTTTAGGGTAGTTATAAGCGGGATTATAAGTCCCCTAATTAGGGTTATAATTATAGTTACCCTACTCCCTACTTATAACCCCACTTACAACTACCCATGAACCTCCAAGTGTTCTTGCTTTAATAAGGCTTTGTCCCTCCCTGCGTGTTATAGGGTACAGGGATTTTAGGGTTTCGGGTAGTTTTGGGTTTGGGGTTTGGGGCCGTCTGTGTGCGGAGTAGAATGTTGAAGGGCATATCTAGGGCTTTTGGGTAATGGCAATACAGAGCACAGCTTCGACTTTTCAGGCTTTCGTGTCTGAACTTTGAGTTTCGGTATCAAGCATTCGTAACTGACCATCCAACGCTTCCAAGGAAGGAAGGCGAGGGAACAACGGCAAAACGCCTGGCGGCGAAACAGCTGACGATGAAGCAATCATATAGACGGGGGGTCGTCGTGGCATGGATCCGGGATGTGCTGAACCCTGACCCTGGCTGTAACATGCACCAGCAGAACGAAGCCCTGCCGACATAAATTGAACTATCAACTATCAAGCAGCGTGACGATATGCATACTGGTGCTTGGTCACAGCAAGGACACGGAGGCAGCAGCTCGACGACAGAACAGAAAGCCCATGCTGTTGTGATACCATGACACCATGACAGTGTGTCAACAAGTGCCCTAGTTTGCCAACGAGACACGTGATTATACTACGGTAGGACCTGGCAAACAAATCCTGCAGACGATGATCAAGATCCCAGTCCATTCGAGTCGAAACAGAAAAGACGGCAGGGCCATGGGTTATAGGGCTCTGCATCACAGACCACAAGCATCCATTGATGCTCACATCCTTGCGCGATCCTGCAGCCTGCCGCTCGCTATTATGGACATCAAACCCACGCAGAGATGACACCCTCCCTAAATTCGAAGTGGGAGTTTCAGACAATAGCAAGCCCTTAAGCAAACCTCACTCTAATGACCCTTAGCAATACAAAGTAACCCAGGTTAATATTAAGCCACCCCCGTTCCTCCCCCCATCCCACTCCTACCTTGCACCCTCGCTCTTGCCTCCATAGTGCCACCGACATGCTATGACCACGCTTGCGCTCCTGGTCCACTCATGATCGAGATCGCTTCAAGCTTCTGAGGGGTGTAACTACAGGACTTAACGGTTTGGGGTTGTTTATGATATGGCAAGGCTAACAAGCGCAATACTGGCTTCTAGGACGTGTGAATCACTCATTCCATGCAGCAGCTGCAAACTTTCGCAGTGGATCTCTCCGCAAGACTATTGGCGCATGAAGGGTCAGCATGAGGAAATGACACTCTCATTGTGGTTACTTGAACCTAGCTCCCTAGCAAGATCCCCCAAAGCTTGTAAAGCACCACTGGACCCTCAAAAGCGCTTTTAACATCCTTCAGACCCAACATGAACCTGAAATTCTGATGGCTTCCAGCACATTGTCGAGCTGCAAAGCTCAGCTTGTCCAAGATCCACGCGTAGCGTCGGTCGGGCTGACCTGACTGTAGCATGTGGGTAGTTCTCTAAACTAGGATCCCTTTTAGGATTTTAGGGTCCGTTTCAGAGGGCGCGGTACTTTTCTGGGGACCTAAAACGGGACCCTAATTTGGAGAACTACCCTTGTAGTATCCCTGCAGAAACCCTATAGACACCCTTATAGATCCCTCAGGGGAACCCTAGAAGGCGACCCTAATTTGGAGAACTACCCTAAACCCTAAACCCTAAACCCTAAACCCGACCCATGTGTCAGGCAGTTGCTTGAGCTTCGTGAGACTCCGGGTCCCCCCAGTGGAGCCCAAGTTAGGGTTTAGGGTTTAGGGTTTAGGGTTTAGGGTTCAAGGAATATACATGAAATTATGAGGGCCTCAGTTTGAGGTTGTATATACATTAAGTTCTGACGGCCTTGAATATGTTGTTTTAAGGTGTGTGTATATACATATATATATATATATATATATTCCTTAGTTAAAGGGTCTTTGGGCTCTCTGGGCTTCCTTATAGGCTCGTTGCTGCTGCAGATGAACTACTATTACAACTGCTATGGCTGGGCTTGGCAGATTTGCCAGCACTGTTTTGTTCGTGCGTGTCTGTGTGTGTGTCTTCCGGAGCAACTCTGGGTAAAAAGCCTTGCTGTTCTTTGGAATCGACAAGGTGATAGCTTGGGATTCAGGGTTTAGGCTTGATAGCACATCATTGGGCTGTCTCGCTTTTGTCTGCTCAGGACACCGGTCTCACCAATCCGGAATCAAGTACCCAGAGACTCCAAAATCCCTTAATTAAGGCATATATCTTAAACTATAATAGGAATCCTTAAGGTATATTCCTTAATTAAGGTGTTTTGGAGTCTCTGGGTATGGAGTGCTTGCATCGCGCCTCGCCGATCTGCCTCGTCGAAGATCCTCTGCAAGTTTTCAGCGTCCTTGGGGGTGTAAGAAATGGAAACTTCAAGCCTCAATGAGATACATTGGGCAATGGGTCATCACCTATGTATATCGTCGTCGTTCTCAAAAAAGCGAGACCGGCAGAGGCATCATCATCGATGCCAAACATCACCATCGTCATTACATTGCCATCGCCATGGTAACAACCATCGAACACAGCTTCTGCGACGTAGTTGGCAACATGACATCGACGACTGCATCTCCGCGTCTTCGTCTTCGTCATCACAACCTTAATGGCACATTGGCCACACCTTCAACACCATCCTCAACAAGTCACGATCAACCCTAAAGAGGAAATGATGTTCGCTGTCGGTTTTCTTGAAAAAGCCATCGTTGCCATCTTCATAACTCTGTTCATCTACCTTCACTACTATCATCCCGACAGACGTCACCTCAAATCCAAGCCACGATGGCGCCGCTGTCCGCGATGAGGTGGCCCACCATCGTCGACCTTGGCTTACCGACTTGGGGGGACGCATAACTTTCGGGCTGTACGTCTGTGGTGTTTTGGGGTGTTTACTTCCTTTCCATGGGATTTTCTGGAAGTTTCGAGGGGATTGAATGCTTGGGACTAAAGAGGTTTGGGATTCAATGAAGATTGCGTTCTTGTCTTGCACGTTAGCTCTCAGGGGTTGGAGATTCCCAGAACGAAAGTTTTAAATTTCTGCTGAGTACATCTTTCCGCTCTACCGGCCACGGTGACGTACGGTGGCGAAGTGAATGAGAAGAAGACTGCTATAGCCCGCAGCTAGCCCTGAGACAGTAATGGGCCAATCAAGACTAGATCTTCCATCTTGGAATCATCTGGGATTATACACACGGACACAAAACCAACGTCCTGCACTAACCGGCGATTTCGACCTCTGCGCGTCTCGAAAACTCTGCAACCTGTGATTGTATATCCGTAAACCTTTCAAGCCGTCCGCACGAACGCCGACATACTCCAAAAAACTCGAAACTGATCGAGAAGCTTGCCGCTGCTGCATGGGCCGATGAAAACAAGGTTGACATGAGGCAAATCCTTGGCAACAGTCTGAGACTGGACTCGGGCGACGCTATGTTTGCTCACAGCTTGGATAGACGGCATTAGAAACTTATCCGGAAGGATTTGCAAGCTGCATCTGAAGAATTGCAGGAGCATCCTTGGACGGGGCTCGTTCCCCGCCACACGAGGAAGCTGACATTAAAGCAGGCGCACCTAGCCTGTGGCCTTTGTTGCGTAGACCTTCCGACATATCCTACTACATCTTAGAAGTTTCATATTGGTCTAGGGGCGTTGCCCACTTTAAGTGCAAATTCCCATGGAGTAGGACCGGCCGGATTGCACAGCTCGCGCTCGGATGGTCTTGATGAGGCCAACGAGTTCGTGTCTGGCCCAGTTCATGAAAGTATGGGGTCCATCTGACAGGGCGGAAAAATACCTAAAATTGAATCCAAACCATTAGATTTACATCTTTTATCGGATTGAATATCCTTGTCTTATGCCCTCTTGTGGTCCATGCTTAGGTGGGGCTGAGTGCTTGTAACATCGCATTACGAGCTTCGGAGAGTCCGAGTCCGAGGGAGCCCGAAAAACCCTAAACCCTTAAACCGTAAACCTCTTTTTTCAGCACGGACTGAGGTGCCGTAAACCCCTAAACCCTAAACCTTTTTTTTGAGCAGGAACTGCAATGCACTAAGCCCTGAATCCCTTCAGCCAAGCTCCAGACTCCGGCGCGTATGGCAGA